GCCTTATTACGTTGAATCCCCTCTGTCAGTTCTTTCTGTTTTAAAATATTTTGTTACTATAAATTTAATAATATTCATGAGAAATGTAAATAACTAAAACGGGGAATCTCGTTTTTTAAAAATCTAGGCCTGTGATTTTATTTGCATGAAGAACTTCCAGTACAGAAATGCCTTCTACCAACCCAGATCAGTAACTCACTCATCCGTTACTTAGAGTCAGAGAGTTAACTCCCTGGGACACTGAGAGATGAACTGAAGGGACCTGCCCTGGGTCACTCTAGCAGCATGCGTCAGAGGCAGTACTTGAACCCGAGCCTTCCAGACTCCAAGGCTGGCCCTGTGTCTGCTACCCTTCCCCTGTCCCCTTCCCTGTCCCCCCCACCCCCCACTTCCACCACACACACACACACACACACAGCCTGTCAGATCTCCAGAACAAAATCTTAACAGGCAAACTGCCTTTTTATTGGAAAAATAACAGTGTGGAAAAGCCACGAAATAGGGAGCGGGAGATAAGGACTGACAGCCAGTTTGATCCGTCGGTCTCGGGTGTAGAAGGCCCCCGTGCATTGGTGGAATCATTGTGGAGACTTTAGGGGAGTGGGAGGACCAGGGATGAGTTTGGAAGGCCCAGATCAGCTGCAGTCTGCTCTGCTAGAGTGAATGCCCACAGAAATCATAGGTCCTGATTTATCAAGGACGGCCTATTTATTCTGCGTTGTTCTCTTCTGGTTCTCTGTGTGTATTTATAAAGGTCTGTTTGTTTTGTTTGGCCTCCTGTGGGTTTAGTGTCAATGCTCCGCATTTCTTTGTGTTTTTTCTGTAGCGCAGTTTTGGTAGCTAACCTTAACATGTACAGACCCCTCGTGTAGTAAATGTCCTGGGGATACGTAAATGTATGGTGATGTAGGGTGTGAGAAATGCCTCACACGAAACTTCTACCTGCCACTGACTTGTTACCTTATTAATTCTGTCACCAGGCACTAAGGTTATCGAGGTATATTGTGATGTTATATCATCAATTCCTAAAATGGGAAACCTGTAATTAATAGTTAGCTCTGAGCCCCCACCTAGTAAAAACAGTGACGTCTTTTCCCGTAAGCTTCTTTCTCTTTCTCCATTTCAAACCCTGATCCCGCAGGCTTAGACAAACATCAGTCTTAACTGCCTGTATAATTTATCAGCAGTCACAATCAATATCAGGACATAGATAAATATTTGCTCCATGTATTGACTCTGAGAAAGGTCAGCCAGAATCACTTGAAAAGCAGAGGAAAAAAAGTGGTTGTCGTCCGCTAGAATTTTCTCCCTGCCTGGCTTGCAGCTGCTGACTCCCCGAGAGTGCCAGAACTTACGGCCATCAGTTCAGCCCCCTTAGGATGGCGGTCAGAACCTCAGTGGTTCTGCACAGAACGGCCCCTCCACAGCGTGAGTGTTAAAAACTCCGTTGTCTCAGGAGGTCGCTTCAGACGCTCCAACAGGACAGTTCACTCTCAAGCATCCTCAACAAAGAAGATCTTAGCTCTGTCTCCCCATCTCCCAGGGATGCTCTCAGAGGACCAGTAACTCTCCAAGCCTTGTTCTGTCGTTGTGGTTAACTGTGGACGTTCATAGACCCCTTCCCCACGACGCTAGCTTTCTCCTCCGGGGATGCCCACGACAGATCAGTCTCCAAGATTCTACTGGCTGTTGTTTTCTCTTAAAGATAAAGGCATGACCAGAGGCTCGGAGAGCACTTACTTAAGCCGGGGTCCTGTTTAGACACACACTGATTTTGGTCTGCGGTTTTAGTCCGGGCAGGATGGTTGCAGGAGGAAAACTCCCTCCACGGATTAGTCGGCAGTCAGTGCGGCGCTGCGGAGGTTGTCCGTGGTCATGTAGCCACTGTACGTCACAGTCTTCAAGGGCTCCAGTCCTTTCTTCCCTCACTGTCGCCAACAAAGCAGCCACAGATGATCCTCAGGCTGGAATCTCAGCTAGGGGTTCTCTGCGGCACAGGGCACCATCCGTCTTGTGATCTGTTGGTGGATTTCCCTCTGGGGTCCAGCCAGCCCACCCTGCCCACTACCAGATGCTTCTGCGCTACACCGCTCAAGCGGAGTGTTATCGCTCTGCCTGTTTTAACAAGTTGATGGGAGTAAATTAGCATCTTAAGTTAGCGTGCTTTCATTTCTATTTCCCTGATTCTTAGATAATTTGAAAGGAGGTGCTTATTCACCATCTGTATTTGAGCCGAAACAAGTAAAAGCCAGAAGGGACCCTGGAGATCTCTGGTCCGGGGATTCTTCCCCTTTCTGGGGCCCCAGACCCCTTGGACAGACAGTCTGGGGAAGTCTAAGGCTGGACTGCTGCTCAGAATTGCATCTTTAAGTGCAGAAAAATAAACCACAGAGGAAACCAGAAATACTATGATAACGATGCGATTCTCTACCTCGTTCATGGATTTCCTGAATTCTGTCCACAGACCTTAGATCAGGAGCCCCTAGTCTAGTACACACACACGCACACGCACACACAGGAACACACGCACACACACACACGCGCACACACACATTCCACCAGCCCATTGAGTTGAAAGGACTTTCCAAAGGTCCCCCGGTTGTAAGGAGCCGAGCCGGGGTTCGAGCCCGAGTTTGGCTGTTAACTCCGGCGCCCTCCGTTTATCGGTGCGCCGTCTTCTTAGCAGTGGACTTCTGCTCACGCGTGCCCGTCTCTGCCTCCCCCTCCGGCCTCTCTTCCCCGGTGCTCCCGGCGTCGTGGGACGCCCCCGCCTCCCAGGCTAGCCTGGCATCGCGGTGAGATGGACGCGGCTTCTCTCCGGGAGGCTCAGCCACTCGTTACTCGGGGCGCGGATGAGGTTGAGGCAGTGATTTTAAACAGACAGCTTTCTGCGCTTGTTCCCAGGGCCCTACGGTCACACATCAGCCCTGGAAAGGGCCTTGCGGGCCGCGCCATCGTTTTGCAGAGGAGGGAGTCGAGGCCCAGAGGGGCGTCGTGGCACGACGGATCGTGGGGTGGGAGGGCCCGAGTTCAGACCCCGGCTCGCCCGCTGTGTGACCCTGGATCGGTCACTGGGCCTCGGCTTCCTGCTGTGTGAAGTGGAGCCGTTGGGTTAGATGGCCCGGAGAGGCCCTTCAGCCCTAAGTCTGTGACGCCCGAATCGGTGACTGGTGCAAGGCCCCCCGGGTAGTAGGGGTGCTGTGTCTGCAAAGGGGAGAGGGCGCCCTCTGCCGTCGGCGTACCCCTCTTACACCTTCGCATCGGAGTTCGGAGGATTGTGGATCGGGAGACGCCGGGTGGAGAGCGGGGAAGACCTCGGGGCCGTTGAGTCTGGGTGGGGGGAGGGACTTGAATCCGGTCCCGACTGCAGCGCCCTCTCCCCGCGCCGCCTCCGCCCGCCTCCGCCCGCCTCGCTGGCGTCTGACCTCATCTGCGCCGCGCGGCAAGGTCACCCGGCCTCCCGTCATCTGCGTCATCTGCGTCAGCGTCGCACGAGGTTCACGTCGGCGTCGCCGCCGCAGAGCGGACGAGTGAGAGCGCTTTGAGCGCGTCGCGGCGGCCGGGTCTCGTGGCGGCGGCCGGCTCTCGAGGCGGCGGCCGCGTCGTTGTTAGGTGGCCTTGTCCTCGGTGCCCCTTTATCGCACTGCTGGCCGTTGCGTCGTGTGCTAACAGAACGCCTGTTTTGGCCTTGCTGTGACCGAGCCGGCTTTATCCAGGCCGCTGCACGCCCCGGTCCTGCTTTCTGCTCTTAGGGATGCGGGCTTCTCTAGCCTGGCCTCGCCTGCCTGGGGGTGTCGGTTCGGGTAAAGCGGGGGGAACCGAGTCGCAGAAGCAGCCCATCGTCGGGCCGGGGCCCTCCCTGGCAACGGAGCGGATCGATGGAAACGCTGTACAGCTTTCTCCTCCTGTCCCGTCACTTCTCCCCTGCCACCCATCCACTGCTCCCCTGGCCACCCCCGGCCCTCGTCGCCTTGCTCCTGGCCTGTTGCAGGAGGCTGCCGGGGGGTCTCCCGGCCTCGCGTCTTTCCGACTTCACGTCTGACACCGCGCCCCGTGACCGCCTTGTGCGTGCGGGAGCTGAGGGTGACGATGAGGCGGTGACTTGGGTGACTGGGAAGGTTCTGGGGCCCCCAGCGGTAACGGGAAGTTTGGGAGAAGGAAGTTGGGGGCAGGAAGGCGATGGCCCCGTTTGAGAACCCGCAGGACATCCCGCTGAATGTTCTAAGAGGCCGTTGGTGAAGCAAGACGGGAGCTGAGGAGAGAGATGAGGGCTGAGCCCAGAGACCGAGGAGTCGTCTGTGTAGACATGATACGGGAGTGGATGAGATCACCAGGAATGTAGAGGAAAGAGAAGAGAGCCCAGGACAGAGCCACGGGGGACGCCTGCCGCTAGTGCACGTGACACGGATGGTGAAAGGACAGAAGAGCTGGAAGAGGAGCAGCGGTCAGATGAGGAGGAGGAGGAGGAGGCCAGGGGAGTCAGTGCCCCCAAGATCTGGTGAG